ACACCTATTTCTTTACCTTCTTGTCAATCAGAACTGACTTTAATGAGTCAAATGTTTTGAGGATTCAAACGTTTTGACCATGTCCTCCAGAAAAAATATATTTTACATTGCAAAATATGCACATGAAAAAAAACATGCACATGTTCCTGTCTTTGGAGCAAAAGTTGTACAAAATAATACATCTGCTTTGGGTGGGCCACTTAAATATAGTCTATTCTTTTGTATGTTTCCATTTCATTTTTAAAATGCTAATTATACACTAAATTGATGCCATGCCTCTCAAATGGATCACATTTCATAGTCTGAAAAACACTAGCATAGATGAATACTACATTGATCCTCCCTTTCCAGGATCTTATACACTTGCTGGTAATTTCATGTGTGTATAGTCCACAGTCATTTTATGATTGGAAAGGCCTGAGACAGAGGTCACTCGATTCAACCATTTGGGCTGAAATTCATTTTATAGCATCTCTGATGAGGGTAACACACCTATATTTAGCCTTTGCTTGATTACCTTAAGGACAAGAAATTACCTCTTATTTGGAGTCTAGCACAAGGGTGGCTGTCTAAAGACCTATTAAGACAGTACAGACACCAATTCAATCAAATGTCTCAATATATACTCAACTTTTTCTTTTTTTAATCTTTCTATTGAGGGCTCATACAACTCTTATCACAATCCATCCATCCATTGTGTCAAGCACATTTGTACATTTGTTGCCATCATCATTCTCAAAACATTTGCTTTCTACTTGAGCCCTTGGTATCAGTTCATTTTTCCCCTCCCCCCCACTCCCTCAACTTTTTCTTTTGAAACAACTTGAACCTTTATTCCTAAAGCCATCTTGTTCTTCTCCAAGAAGAGTATAAAAGGAGGAAGCTCAATCAGAGAAGTCTATAAAACTCCTCTTTTGAGGATTTGAAAAAGGGATCATAGCAAGTTAACATTGTAATACTATCCAGCCAGAGCTTAAATAACATAGCAAGTACTCTTCAAGATTGAAAGTCTAATAAGTAATACTAGGACTAGGGTCCTGTACATCAGGTAAACCTTCCAGGAGGAGGCTCAAAATGATCTTGGTCTAAAAATTGATTGGAAATGGACAGGTAGAAACAAGTTGGGAGGGCATGATCAAAGACTCAAAGGAAAAAAATGAGCTCAGCACATTGGAAGGTCAGGAATTAAAAGTTCACGAAGAGAAGCAGTGAGAGGCAAAGCCCAAAAGGCCAGTATGCGGAGAGTAATAGAGAATCTAGATTTTAGCATGTAGGTACTCAGATGTTCCTGACTCATCCACTACCACCGAGTTCATTCAGGCTCATCAGGACGCTCCGGGACAGAGCTGAACAAGCATGCTCTTTAGGGTTTCCTAGACTCTACCTTTAAAGGGAGCAGACAGCTTCATCTTTCTTCCACAGAGCAGTCGGAGAGACTGAGCGGCCAACCTTGTGGTTAACAGCCCCATGCTTAAACCACTACATTGCCAGGGCTCCTGTGCTGAGAAGGTCATTTCAGAATTATTCATTTGCATGTGCACCTCAAACTTGGCACTCAAGAGATCAAGCCCAGACAATAGGTTCTCCAGCTGTACATTAAGAGAGAAAAGTGTACTGTGTGTGCACATGGACTTCATAATCAGAATTATATTAAGAGCAGTCTTAAATTTTTTTAAATAATAATATATATTATAATAAGAAGGGTTCCTGGGGGATTGGGTGAAGGATATCAGAGAGTTCAAGAAGAACGAAAATGTTTTGAAAATCATGGTGGCAGCAACCATACAATTGTTTCATCTAACTGAATTATGGATTGTTAGAATACCTGTAAGGGCTCCCAATTTAAAAAAAAATTAAGTTGGAGGGAGTGGGTAGCAAGGAGGGAGGGGACAAATGAGGAGCTGATGCCAGGGGCTTAGGTGGAGAGCAAATGTTTTGAGAATGATGAGGTCAATGACTGTACAAATGTGCTTTACACAATTGATGTACGTATGGATTGTGATGAGTTGTATGAGCCCCTAATAAAAGGACTAAAAAACATTAAGTTGACATATATATATGTCATATGTCAAAAACATATATATATATGACAGTAACAGAGTGTAGGTCTTTTTTCTTTTAAATTTTGGTATTCAAATGTAAGCATTGTCTGCTTGCATCCTTTATGAAAGCTAAAGACTTTGCTCATAAGCTTGTGCTCAATGCTGCTATGGGCCTAATAAACTATCACAAAGCATTTTTGCCAAAATTGAAGTTTGGATAAATAATCACAACACACTCGTAATCATAAGGTTGTCTACAGTTAACATACAGACAGGGATCTCTGAAGGTGTCAGCTATCTAGTCATTCAAGCTCTGCTGGGTTCCGTGACAGAGCCCTATGACCCAGGGCTTCCAATGAGTCAGTCACGATCCGCCTCCTACAGAAAATTTACATCCTGTATGGGTTAGAATCACCTGAGAATCTTGCCAGAATGTCAATTCTGACTCAGTGTATCTGGGCAGAAACAAAAATTCTTAAGAGGGGGTCAAACGAAAATGGCTTTTGAGTTCAAAGCCCTGCTATGAACTTTGCCTAGAACTCAGGTCTCTCAGGTGAATAACATCATGTTGTGTCACTGAGCAATTATAGCCGCCACCTGCCAGCATATTTAAGCAATGAGAACTACCAAGCGCAATTTACGAATCTTCCAGCATCATTTCTTGCCGTTTAACAGCACCATGCGTTCAACCAGAGCTCCTAAGCATCATTTCTTTATGATCTTTATGTATTGAGTTCCTGTCCACCCCATTGTCCTCCACCCCCAAAAGGGAAGCTTTTTTAGAGAGGTTTTTTGAAGCTTTCTATAAAATGGTGGTGTGTATCAGCTGCAGGTGCTGCCTATTTGTCATGTAGATGTAAATAACCAAGAATCATGGACACTAGAGTAATGGGGCCCATTCACCAATGGTCTTGATTTCGCCACTTCTTTATTTCCCATCTAGGTGCCCTGGTGGCATAGTGGTTACCAGTTGGGCTACTGACAGCAAGGTCAGCAGTTTGAAACCACTAGCTGTTGTGCGCTAGAAAGAAGGTGCCTTCAATTCCTGTCATGAGCTAGTGTCAGAAATTCACAAGGCCGGTGCTACCCTGTCCTACAGAATCACTGAGTTGGAATCCAGTCTATGGCAGTGAATCCACAGACACGGATATCAGGAAGCCTTTTCCCACTGGAAGTCAACATTTCATGCCTGGATCCGAAGTGGAGCCTCATTTCCGCGGATCCAGATTTTTGAGGCAATTTCTTCATGTGTATGACTGACTCCCTAGCTTGGTCATGGAGCTACGGGGCAGTTGGAAGGGAGAAGGGGGTGCGGGACAGGGCAAAGTCCCTCCCCTCCACCCACAGCTTTTGAGTGACTTCTTGTTCCATCAGATATGCTCTCAGGACTATTTCAACTTCCCAGGGTGGAACCCCCGAGTGAATCCGCTCACCACGTCCGAATTCACGGGGTGGCTCTTGGTGATGGGAGTTCAAGTTTTTCCACTTGAAAGGAAGGAAGTGGGAGGCAAGGTGTGGGTTCCCCGTGGCCTACCTACCACGGTCCCAGCCTGGAAGTCCTGGTTACAAAACTTTGCCACCTGCGCGTACCGCTTGGGCCAGCGCCGTCTCCCCTCACGCCTCCCATTTCTGGGTCACACGGGTGTCCGCGCGGGGACACGCGAGCCCACGCACACGCTCGGCCACACAGGGCGGCTGCCAACGTCCTCCGCGCGGAACCAGCCCGCCAGGGCGCGGGGCCGCGGCCGGCCGGGCTCCCGGTCAGGGTCGGGGTCGGGGTCCGCCCCGGGGTGGCCCGCGGGCCTCCCGCCCCGACCGCTCGGCCAGCCCCCGGCGCCCGTGCCGGGTGACAGGCCCCCTATAGGTTCCATACCTGCCACCGGAAGTGAGTGAGGAGGGCAGTATAGGCATTTCCTGTGACGCGAGCGCCTGGACTCCATTAAGCAGCAGCTGGGGAAGAATCAACACACCAGGGAGCGGAGCGCAGCGGAGCCGAAGACAGAGGCGG